AAGATCGCTTCTTCATTGTCCACCCTCAGGATCATCTTACCTTCTCGGACTTTGATAATGGAATCTCCAGTGGCCAAAAGAGGTCGTCCCAAGATGATAGGAACTAACTCATCAGCCTCGTAGTCCAGGATGATAAAATCTGCAGGGAAAATAAACTTCCCAATCTGCAGCAAGACGTCCTCAATTACCCCCTCAAGATAAACATAAGATCTGTCAGCTAACTGTAGCAGCACCGTGGTGGGTCTTGGAGCTCCTAATCCCAATTGTTTGAACATTGACAACGGCATCAGATTGATACTTGCATCCCAAATCACATAAGGCTCTACCCACATCAATTTCACTAATCCTCACGGGGATGGTAAAACTACGCGGATCCTTATGCTTTTGTGGAAGCTTATGTTGAATACTGAAAGTGCACTCCTCAGTAAGTGTGCCGGTCTCAAATTCAGTTAACCTCCTCTTATTTGCCACTATATCCTTCATATATTTTGCATATTTTGGGACCTCATGGAGCATGTCCACCAAAGGGATGTTCAAGTGTATCTGCTTCAGCATATCAAAAAATTTGTGAAACATGTAGTCATCATTCTTCTTTCTCAGTCATTGAAGAAAAGGAGGTGGCACCCTCTCTGATATTTGCTCAGACTCTATTTTGTTTCTCTCATCTACCTCTACAGGTTTTGGCACTCTTTCTTCTTCGAGCCCAGACTGCTCCTTTTGCTTCTTAGGCACTTCTACTAACTCTCTCCCATTTCTCAACGTCACTGCATTGAGTTGAGCATTTTTCTATGTATCACTTGGGAGTGCTCCAACATGTCTAATATTCTAATTGTTAGCCATTAGCCCAAACTGCCTCTCTAGATTTCTGAACTCTGTGCGTAATTGTTGATTCTCAGCCATAACTTTCTGATTGTCTAGCAAGAGATTTTTCATCATGTCAGTCAAACTCTCTTCTGATTGCTGTGGAGGTTGAGGTGGATGATTATAAGTTGCTTGAGGCCTGATGTTCTGAATTCCACCCCAAGAGAAGTTAGGATGATTCCTCCAGTTCGGATTGTATGTGTTACCATATTGAGCATTTTGATTCATCGACCCTCTAGCTTGTTGCCCCACTTAGTAGATGGATTCAGGATTCGCGGGGCATATGTCACTTGTGTGACCTCTCTACATAACTCGCAGCATGTAGACATCTATTGCACATGCTGCATCTGTTGTCCTATACGGTCTTGCCATGAATCTACCCCCACATTCTAAGTCAAGATTCATCTTTGATGCCTCGTCCAACCCATCAACGAAAGTGTGACCCAACACCTCATCAGTCTGACAATGATGTGGGCAATCTCTGAATAGCTTCTTGTATCTTTCCCAAGCTTGACGAAGAGTCTCGCCATCTCGTTGTTGAAATCCAAGATTCTGTTTCCTCATCAACTTTGTCTTCTTAGTGGGAAAATACTTGATTAAGAATTTCCTTGCTAGATCATCCCAATTATGGATTGAGTTCGCGGGCTCCTTTTGCAACCATTCCTTAGCTTCCCCTAGCAGTGAAAAGGGAAACAGTGTCAGCCTGACATAGTCCTTGGAAACATTCGGATAATTGTAAGTGTCTGTAATTTCTAGGAAGTTCTGAATGTGCCTCTGCGGGTCTTCATGAGATAGACCCACATATTTACATGTGGACTGAATCAGCTATACCATGTACTGTTTGAGTTCAAAGTGACCCGTGATCTCAGGCTTCACAATTGCTTGAGTCATATTAGCAAGATTGGGTCTTGCAGCTTCTATCACCGGATGCCCTTCATTACCTGCCATCTCTATTGGCTGTGGTTGAACTACGATGTCCAACTCTCTTTCAATTCTAGTTATAGCTTCAACTTCCCTCCTCACTCTATGAAGTGTTCGTTCGATCTCAGGATCAAGAGGAAGGATATTGTTTGTGCTTCTACTCCTCTGCATTCAAGAGAAGAGCCTGTGTTATCACAAATAAAGCAAACTAAAAATTAAAACTTGAACAAATAACGAATAAAAGCTTAACTTAGATAAACAATCAATAACTAAGTCCCCGGCAATGGCGCCTAAAACTTGTTGGTTCCCCAAGTACACGCAAGTATACATGGCCGTCAAGTAATAAAGTGACTCGAAAATCGGATGTCGAACCCACATAGACTTAGATCAATTGTCAACTACGAAAACTAAAATCAATTAATTGTCCAAGATATTTAAGAGTGATGTTTTTCTATTAATCTACTATTGCGGAAATTAAACAAGTAACAACTAATTTATCAAGAATGCAAATGTGTATGATGAGATTTTAATTCAGAGGAGGTGAAAATTTGAGGGTCGTGGTTAGTTTATCAATCCTATTAAGTTCAATAATCACACTCCTTAATCCAAATTATCTATGGTTGCTAATTAACTGGATCGTTTATATGATTAGCATGTTCCCACAATACTACTCGCCTGCCCATAATATATCAATCCTATATTCCTATGGTATTGAGTCTATCATGAACGAATATAATACGATATTTAATTAAGCAAGACTGTTAGGTATATTCCTATCCTAACCGCGAAATCGTCCCCCGAGCCACGATTTCAGAAACAAACTCTCTCTAATTCTACTCTAATCTAAACACGGCTTTCCCCAAGCATAGCATAGATAGTAGGGTGAATTGGTAGCTACAACAATTCACAAGTTAAAACTAGAATTAAAGAAACAACCACAAGATGATAATCCGAATTAACGAAGATGTAATTAATAAATGTTGATAATCATGTCAACCACAACCCTAGAACTAGAGTGCTTAGCCATCATGTTCGTAGTAACAATCTTCCAAGTATTTTGCATAAACAAATTACAAAGAAAAGATAAATGAATGAAAACTCGATGATTTTCTCCTCAAAAAGTTGTTCCACGTGATGTTCTTGCCTCCGGTCGCAAAAACTCCTCTAAAAATGATGTTTAATGACTATTTATATGTGTAGGAAAAATTCTAAACAAAATAACCAAGTCCAAAACCAAAAACGAGACAAAATAGGCTTAAAAACTCGAAACACCCTCGCTACAGGCCTCGTGGCGCGAGGCAAAACGCGAGCTTCATCTCACTGTAGCCCGTACGATGCAAGCTCTGCCGCGTGCTTTAATCCTCTCCTCACCTCGCCTTCTCTAACACGAGCAAAGTAGTTTGCTACGCCTGCTGCTGCATCGATTCAATTTTGTTGCCTAGCATTTCCAATTCACGTTTTTGTTTCTTTTTTCAATTGTTCTTTTTGTCTTCTTTTGATTTGTTTCTTTTGTCTTCCTTTTAATGTTAAACTTTAATCCTTATATATCCACTGATTAAATAATCATAACTCCATTCTTGTAGTGTATAAAATACACATAAAATCTCTACTTTGCTCCCAATTTCGTCTTCAACGTACCTACACATAAAATAAACTCAATTAAGCACAAATATAGTATAGTTTAGTATTAAAGCCCCAAAATGTAAGGTAAGTAATACACTAAAAATATGGAATTATAGCCAAACATCAATACCCCATGCAAGAACGTTGCTCGTCCTCGAGCAATCAAACTACACTTTATATAGATACGACCTTTTTAAACAATTCTCCTAATTCATCACACCAAGAATCTTTAAAATAGACTAAGCACAAGGGTGTAACATCTTCACCTCAAGATTTGACTCTCAAGTACCATATATTATTCACCACTCACTCACTTTCTCTAACATAGAGGTCAATGACATTATTACCTTTCCTTCATGAATCAAGTGCCCTCACACAACAAAAGAGAGTAGTTTCACACACTTTAAAATTTAAGAATAATTAGGAACTCAAGATAGGAAGAATTCACTCACTCTCAGAAATAACATTCATATGCCACAAAAGATGCACCATAGGCTTGCCCATAGTGTACTACTCTACTAATCGAGCTCATTCAGTCTAGGATCAAGTATGACTTTAATTGTTTGTAATGTAGACTGCGGGTCGAGTAAGATACATTTGGATATAAGAGTGACTACACCTCCCTAAGCACTTAATTACATATACTTTAACATTTAAACCCCATACTCATGTCAAACCAAACTCCATCTTCGCATCAATGTATATTAGTCCATACTTCTTTTAAGCATAATTACATCAAGAGTCACTACTATCAAGGAATAGTTTTCACAGCAATACAACTATATATA